TATTCACAACTTGTTTTTATTTAACAAAATACTCTGCGTCAATTCATTTTTGTTGCTGTTTAGTCTTTGAAAGACAAAATATAAACTGCATCCCAAAAAATGGTTTGCTCCAGCTATCATCACACAAAGCGAGGCACGCACTGCCGAGTTTTATTAATTGGAGGAAGTTTATTTGTTGAAATAAAAGACAAACTCATTGAAACCCAATAATCACTTATTCAAATCAATGATTTTGTTTTGAGCATTTTTATTTAAGGTTGATGACGTCATAACACAATGACAGACATTCAAAGCTTTATTTCAAAAAGCTCAATAGAAGCTCAAATCAAAATAAGACCTTTAGTAGTCCCGAGTAGTTTTCATTACTCTTTAGCTTTTTTTCTTTTGCAGTAGCTTGAATTGAATTAATTTAATAATCCAATTTGTGTTGATTTAAAAGGCTTAAGATTTTCATTTCCAAAACTACACTGAAGCTATTGTGCATATGATAAATTAAGCTTTGGATTGATCACAATACATAGAGCTTCCATACCAAACCTACTACATGAAAGGACTTATATAGTTCTTGGAATATATATTTGTATTTCACCCACAATACTCAGATATTCTTTGCATTACTCTAAAATGTTAAAATATAAGTTTACCAGAGGACAACTCCTGCTTGATTGTATTGCATTTAACACCAGCAGGTCCAAATACTTTGCTTGATGAGCCAATACCTGCACATTTACTGACATGCCCATAAGTAACTGTGCTGATTATGCTACATTCAGCAAAACTATAGTAAACGTTACATATTTTGGTTAGCATTGTAAGCACAGCCTCGCAGTTGTGCTGGTTCTGTTAAGTACCGTATTTGTACTTACTGTATGTTATAGATCTTAATTGATGGAATCTTATCTTCATTCAAGTTCTATGTTTTTGTGCGTGTGTGTGTGTGTGCGTGCAGTTGCGAGCCCACGCTGTGGACCTGAATGGGAATCAGGTGGAGAACCCCATTGACATCGTCATTAACGTCATCGACCAGAACGACAACAGACCAGAGTTCACACACACCATCTTCAACGGCACCGTACCGGAGGGATCCAAGCCTGGTACACACACACACACACACACACACACACACACACACACACACACACACACACACACACACACACACACACACACACACACACACACACACACACACACACACACACACACACACACACACACACACACACACACACACTCTCTCTCCTCCCTGATATATCTGTGTTGACTTGCTGCGTGTTTCCCTGCAGGATCTTTTGTGATGACAGTGACATCCGTGGACAAGGATGATCCAAAAACTGCCAATGGGATGCTGCGATATAAGATCCTCTCCCAGAATCCCCAGAGCCCCTCCACCAACATGTTCACCATTAACAACCAGACCGGTGACATCATCACTGTGGCAGCAGGCCTCGATCGGGAGGTGTGTGTGTGTCTGTGTGTGTGTGTGTGTGTGTTTTTTGGGTGGAGCAGCTGCTTCTCAGCCTGAGTCTGTGTGTCCCTGCAGTGTAAACTAGGGATGTAACGATACCAAAAACTCACGGTACGATAATATCGCGATAACAAGTCCACGGTACGGTATTTATCGCGATATTGAATAATAAAGGGAAGAAAAAAAAAATTCATAATTTTCTTTCAATAAAACATTTTTTTACTCGGAAAATGTTTTTTTATTACATAATAAATCTGATTTTTGTAGGATAGCAGTATTTTAAAGTGTCAAAAACAAAGTGACAGTAACAGACTGGAACAAGAAAACCAGTGTTTTTGTACCTACCAGTACTACCAAACAAAGTAAGCATTTTCTGCATCTCACAAATAAACAAGGACATTTAATAATCAGACCCTGCAATAAAATAAATCAAGTTTCACTTTAGTTTTTCAAGTAACTCAACTCAAACTCACTAGTCACTCACTCAGCATCATCAGACAGGTTTTTAGGAATATGAGAATGTCCACATTTCCAGGTATTTATAAACTGGGATGTTTGGGCATTTACAATATCCCCTGCTCTGGAAAAAACTCTCTCGCTTGGTACTGATGTTGCTGGGACACCAGTGGTCGCGTTAACCGAATATTTTATTTAACAATGAAGGAAAAATCTGAAAGCAGTCTGTCATTTTGACAGTTTAGAACAAACTCGGAACAGCGCCAACGTTTCCCCGCAGCCAGGCTCTGGTGTTATGCCGTGTTATGCATGCCCTCCAAAAGGAAATTATATAGTTTCCAAACCGTACTTTGCCGTACAGATCAATACATGTCTGGGAAGTTTTGCTTTACGCTGTGCGCGTCCCGCGAGGTGCATGCACACACGGCATAACACCGCCCCAGGTTATGGCAGCACTCTGACTGTTTTAGATGGGCGCTAATTTTTTTTTTTATTTTTTTAAAAAAAAAAAAAAAAAAAAATTTGTGAAAAAAAAAAAAAAATTTGGAAATAAATAAATTGGTTCCACCAGGGTAACTCTAGTAGCTAGAGAAAAATAGTTATCTCTGGACAGGTTGTACCGTCGTTCATCCAATGTTGTCCTTTTATTTTGTTGTCATGTGTTTCCTTGTAGCATAAATGTCCCGGTGTAAAAAATGTGTGGATCTCTGTACATGGTTGGTATATTAAATTAGAACGGTACAGTTATTCGGACCGCAATCTGAAAAAGGCGACAGGAGTAAACCTGTCTGTCTAGCCATTTTATAGGCAGATTAGGGAATAATGGGCAGCCACAGACGTTGTCAAGTGCTTATCTCGTCGAGTCACTT